ATTTATTAAGGTAGTTCAAATCAACTATTGAAAAGATAAAAAATTTTATTAAATAGTTAATGATCACCTTATTGATAAAGCTAAAGAATAATTAAATATTTATTATAAAGTCAACAATGCTGACAATAATACAATTACAAGATATACTATTATTAAAACTCCATTAAACTATTTCTGTTTTCAATATTGAATAAACAAATAAATTAAGAATTTGAAAGAAAGGAAGCAAAACTTTATGAAGCTATGAATTTCTATTATATTTTATTTAAAAGTAATTTTTTTTTTTTTTTTTTTGCCCTCTGTCAGACTAGTTATGTATGCTTTATTAAATATTTGTAAGCTGTACATATAACATGAGATACTAAAGTTAATTCTTTAACTAACTCACTCATATTGGTTGTTTTACCTTTAAAGTGTGACATGAAACATGTTAGTTTTTAAAATGTAAACAAGCTTCTATTGATTATATTTATATATTCTGATGATGTTATTGAAAAAAAGATTTCAGAAATGTTTGTTTTCAAAAGTCCAAATCTCTTAATAAAAACTTTCATAATATCAAAAAATCAAATGGTGGATAATGTAGATTACAAATTCTTATCTCTTACCTAAGTTTCTCAAGTGATGACAAAACTTTAATGAAAAAAAGCTAAGGCTTAAATGCTTTTCTTGAAATATCCTAATCTAATACTTACTTAAATAAAAGATTAGCTAGATTGACTCATTTGATACTATAGGTGATAATAAAAAAGATTTCTTCTGAGATTTAAGTGAAGCAAAAAGACTATTCTAATTAGGTAGATTCCTTTTGAGAAGAGATTGTTTTTATTTTTGAATTTTTTTAATAAACCTTAAAATGACCCCTTCACCCAATTATTTTTTCCTTTCTCCTTTTTAATTTAGCAATTTATTGATTTTTGGACAATCAACAATAAAAAACTGTTGATAATAATTCTGGTAGATAGAAGTCATTATCAATCTATTAGGAAAATATAATATTGTTCCCAAAATCTGATTTAGAGTATTTGTATATAAAAACAAGTTAGTTATCTTATAAAAGTCTATAATTATTGTAAATTTACTTTAATTTCTCAATAAAGACAAACCATCATAATATGGTTGTGAATTAAAAAAAAAAAATAAATCTATAGTCTATCTAATAAGTAAAAGTATAGAAAAATATAAAAATAATTAATAAGCTTTATTAAAGAAAAATATAAACAAGAATTTTAAATTTTTTTTAAACACTAGTTTATCTTTATATTAGCTTTAAAGCTTTATTAAAGTAAAAATAGATTCCAAGAATAATTAAAATAAGTAATTATTCATATTGTTTAAGAAATAAATAAAAATTTCATATAATAATAATTAAAAAATTTAATATAACATATAACTTATTAAGAAATAAAATATTATTTTCTAAAATAAAATTTTAACTTTTGTGATATTCCAAAATTTTTATTGTTTAAGTTTTAAATATACAAAAAATATGAAAAGAAAAGAAAATATAATATTAATAATAGAATAAACTATATTTGATTGTTAAATAGTTTAATTAAATACTTAATACTTGGATTTGATAATTTTAATATAAAAAAAACAAAAAGTAATTATATTATATTAGGGATAATATTATATAATAAAAATATTTTTAGACTCTTTCTGCCGATCTCTTAACAATACACAAAAAAGATGCTCACAAAAAGTTTTATACTTTTCTGCTAATAAAGCCTTATTACTTTCTCTAAAACAACTTGAAGGATATCTTCAAGAGTTCCTCCCAACTTTCCTTTCTTGTTTGTACTCCTTTTAAAACAAAAACTTGACTTCCGATAATCAAGAAAAGTCAAGAAGCATCTTTTTTACCTATGGCAAGAAAGTTCTAAAAGGAAGAAAAATTAACAGTGAAGTACTAAAAGTCTATCTCTTGAAGCAAGAGTGCAACTAGAGATTTTTTGCAGTGAGTGTATGGATGAACAAAAGCCTAAACCATAAAAATTTCCTTTCCATTGTTTTTACCCTCTTAGAGTCACTCATTTTTCAGAGTTTTTTGAGGAATTTTGCCTATCCCAGCTTGATCCTGAATTTTAAAGTGACACAAGATCGATATAGCTTTTACTAAAGGTGATTAGTCAATATGAAACACATTGATAGCAAAATGTAAACAAGTTCCTATTAATTACATCATGTGTTCTGATAACATCATTGGTGAAAGAAAAAGTGACCACTGATATGGATTCCTCCACTTTTCCAAATAAAGTGTAACTGAAGTAAAGAAATCATGAGGCCATTAAGATGGGCACTAAATTCCCTGGGTGATGAAAAGGTGGTTATTTGTTCAAACTGAGGCCTTCAACTTCTTATTATCCCGGTTAGGCAAAGTATACGAAAGAGGTTATTTTCTTATCCCAGTCAAGCTGTAAAATCAAAAAGCAGAGAAATGTAAAATGCTGCCCTTTTTTAGAATTGAGAATGCATTTCTTCAGATATTGTGTAATGATATTATAATCGATAAGGATCTCCGGTACTGGTCAAAAACCTCACACCATTACAAGACAAAAAGATTTATAGGGATCTGATTTTTTGGATAATAGAAGATATATACCAGTAAAATTCCTTTAACTAGGTATAGCTGCTGGAAGATATCTGGAGTTACACAACAAAACTGAAAAGTCATATAAGAACCTGGGATCCACCATTAGTCATTTAGTTTTGTGCGGGTGGATACAAAATCAAGACCAAAAGAAAGAAAACATTGAGCAAGATACTGGATCCGAGTAGGCGATAAATACCTCAGACAGTCACAAGAAAATAATCAAGATCACAGATGGATAAGTTTCTCAGATAGTCAGAAAAAAAGAAAAATATCCCAGAAGGGTGGATTTCTAATAAAAAGAGATTTTTAGCAGAAGTCTTTTGAAGGACATGAAGCCTTTTATTTTTATTTTTTTATTTTTTTATTTTCATGTAAGCACAATTGTACATTTTTAGATATTCCTTTTCCTTTTTTTTTCCTTTTCCCTTTTGTAGTTTCTCAAAATCAGCTCCTTGGAGAATAATAAGCAATGACAATCTGCTGACAATAATGAATAAGTTAGGAGAGTATACACTCAAAACTTAGTTCAGAGTGAAATATTGTCCTCAAGGTTGTACTTAGAGGTTGAAGCTCATTTGAAAATTGAAAGTCATTAACGAAGTGTCAGTATAAGTTTTTAGTTTAGCCATAATGCAATTGCCCTATATATTTCTATTGGTTTTCATATTAATTAATAAACACATAGTGCTGACCTGACCATGGGTAAAAAAAATATATATATATATATATAATAATAATATTTTTATGAAAAGTATAATTATTAGATTTTCTATAAAAAGAAGAATTAAAAAAAAAATAGATATAAAAAATTAATTTCAAAACAATAATAAATTTTTTATAAAAATCAGAATTATAAATTAAAAATAAAATAAAAATTATATTACAAAACAAATCTAATAAAAATAGTAAAGAAAACATTGTAAAAAAAAATATAAAAATGGTTAAAAATTAAAACATATAAGATAACTTTCAATAAACTTGTAATAGTAAAATTAAAATTTTATAAAAAAAAATATTATAAGTATAGTTTAAATTTCATTAAATATAGAAGAACCTTTTATTTAAAAATGTTTTTTAAAAAAATTAAAAATATTAAAAGAGACAACTAAGCTATAAACTTTTAATAAAATTATTAAAAAGTATAATATTATTTAAATTTATAAAACTATTATATTTAATATAGTATTTTTATTATTTTATAAATATTTTTTGAAAAAAATATTTTAAATACAATAAAAGGTCTTAAATTTATATGCCAGAGTTTAGAAGTTAATGAAATAAGAAATAATATTAAAATTATTTTGAAACAAAGATATGATTACTTAAAAAACAATTAAAAAAGAATAAAAAACTTTTTAATAAATAGAGAGTGATTAAAAATAATCTTGAATCAAATTAAAATTAAGAAAAATAATAATAAATATATAATAATTCAAAAAAGAGAAATGAGAAGAAAATAAGATAGTACTACTTGAATTTTTTCAAAAAAAATGTTTATTTTAATAATTTAATTAAAGATATATTGAAAGAAAAAATATATTTCAAGAGAATATATTAAAGAAGCTTAATATAAAGATTTTTTGCAATCAATCTTACAAAAAAATTTTAATAAAATACTCAAAAAACTTTTTATTAAAAAGATTTTAAAAAGATCACAAATAAATTATAAAAATTAAAAGTAGTAAGTTATTTGAAGAGTATTAAAGTTTTTATTTTATTTTTATTTTATTTTTTTCATATACTGTATATATATTTATATAATTTTATATACTTTTTTTTTTTTTATTTAATATTATAAAAAATAATAAAATTTAATAATTATTTAATAATAATATAAGTAATTCAAAAAATGTTTATTCAAAATATTTATAAAGTATCATAATGTTTTCATAATTAAATTTAAAGACTTTAGCTTTAAATAAGTTATAGTATTAACAAAAGATTTAATTTAGTTTAAATCATATATACATAAAATAATGAATATAATTTGTACTAAATAGTTTACTAATATAATAAATATATATTACTGGCTTTATTTAATATATTATTGAAAAAAAGAATTAAAATTTATTTTCTTGTTTAAATAAATTTTAATATTTTGATAAAATATCAAATAAATAGATAGAAAATGGTACTTATAATATATAAAATATTTACTATTCTTACTTATTATAGTATATTCAAAAAGTTAATTAAATTAGCAAGATAGTTTTTTATCAATTATTAATTAATAATAATAATTATTATATTTTTAGAATACACAAAAAAGTATTTAATAAAATAATTTTATTTGGCAATCGAATCGCGAGTTTGTTAATCAGTTCGAGAAATTTCCCTTAACTGTCGATTTGTCGTTGATCGGGCTTATCATTTTATTCGCATTCTCTTTCATGCACAATTAACAATGCCTCCTAAGCAACCTCACGATTTTGATGATTTAATGCTTTTAGAAGCAACACCCGAACAAGCTATCATGTAGGTCTTTCTCGTTCCATGATTACGAGCAATTAATCATATATCAATATTTTTAATCGCATCTACAAAGGACCAACCAAAATTCTTACGCGACATGGGGTTACCCTCAACTAACTTTGGAACAATATCTTGAACGTGAGAAACTTTTGGCAAATCAGGAATTCACGGGAGAAAATTTTAAGGTCTGGGTTCTCATGTCAAGAAAGGAACAGCAGGAACATCAAGGAAAAAATGATGCTTCTGCCAACAATAACCCGACCATTCTTTCGGCATGTGAAACATTTAAGAGAAAAGCCTTGATAGTGGATAGATCGGGAGAAGTTATAGAAACAATATGCTACGGCATCGCATCCGTATTCACACCACCGCACTTGAGAAATAAGGGATATGCCTCGACAATGATGAAGTTATTAACCGGCATTTTGGAAAAACAGTTTAAAGCGGATTTTTCATTTCTCTTTAGTGATATTGGTCCGAATTTTTATCAAAGATTCGGTTGGAACGTTTTCAACAATAAAGAAATCAGATTTAGTATAGATGGTGGTGATGCTTCTGGAGAAGGGCCGGGGAATATGGAGTTGGGCGAGAATGTGTCTGTCAGTCCGATCCGAGAAAGTGATTTAGAACGAATAACTCAACTTGATTGTCAACTTGTTCGCCAGGAACTTTTAAAAGTGGATCACCGAGCCTTGGTGGTACTTCCAAATAAACCTTCTTACGTTTGGATGTTTGAAAGAAGTAAATTTTACGCAAGGGTTACTGCAAATACCGAAATCACAATCTTTGGCGTCGAATTGGTTCGAGCGTTCGACGAAAAGGAAAAGCAATTGGTCGGATTTATTATTTGGTTTCACGATTTTAATGAACAAAAATTGGTTGCTCTCAGGTTTCGGAGTTACAGCAAGCAAGCCGCCAAGATTTTGGTCGCGCAAGCAAAACAGGAAGCTCGCAAGTATAATCTAAAACAAGTAGTTTCGTGGAATCCTGATATGACATTATTCTCTGGAGAGGATGGGGAATTGGTAGAGCGAGAGGATTCCTTGCCTAGTTTGGCATGGTACAAAGATTGGGATTCTAAAGTGGAGTGGTTATTGTTGGAGAAGTATACTTGGTGTTGACAAAAAATTTGACTGTATTTTTTATTAAAAAAATTTTTTTTGATCGTTATCAAGTAATAAATTTAGTTGGAGTACAGTACATACATATACTGTATACAGTATTTTTGAAGTTTTACTAATAATTCAGCGGGAAATATTGGTGACTAATGGTTCCTTGAACTTTATCAGGCTTATGAAGATCATACCACAGTAATAAATACCATTAGCGACGCTTAAATGATCTTCGTGTGTGCGTACAGTAGTGGGTGCGTGCATACGTGTATGGCCAAGGCTGTTACACCGTCCGTACATTATAAATTGGAATTTTTGATTTGAAATTCTTTAAACCTCCATTTTTTTAGAAGAATTGAATTGATGTTTTCAACAATGTTTCTCAGAAAGTCCGCAACAAAGTAAAATTGAAGTCGATATTTAAGTCACAAATCGATCTCTCATGATGACTTTGCATTTTCCAGAGCTTTCAAAGGTTTACGTCCCCATCATCAGTTTTGGGGTCGTCGATATTCTACAGGTTTCGTGATCTACACAATTTTCATTGCAGCGTAATGAATTGAAATTATTTAATTTTATCTGGTATCTAGCCGCCACTCGGGTTGCTTGTGAGCCAAATGAACCTTCGTTTTTGGATTCAGTTCAAATATATTTTGAAAAGGTAAGGCACTTGAGAAATAACCGTTTTTCCGTGAAACGCTCTTTGGATTGAACGAAGGGTGTTTCCTCTATATAGGCTGCAGGACTCAGTAATGCGTCACCAAAGACTTTGGATCATCTCAAGGCTTCCGATTGCACACTCAAAGTCACATTTCCAATTGAGGCAAGAGGAGAAGGATTGTTTATTGTGTCAATGTTGATTTTTTCTTACGGTCGATGTCAATAATCTTGTGAAGATAGGTTGATAACGGTAAAGTTGAGGTTCTGACCGGTTACAGAGTTCACCATTCTCGTCATTTATTACCGGTCAAAGGTGGAATTCGGTGAGAAGAAACCGTCCTTACCTCTTAACATCATGATCGTTTAATTTTAAAATTTTATATCCTCTCGCCGGGATTAGGTTTTCACCTGAAGTTGATGAACAAGAAGTGGCGGCATTGGCCGCTCTCATGACTTATAAGTGCGCCGTTGTGGACGTTCCGGTAATCATACAGAAATTGTTTGCAAGTGGTTTCTCGCTCAACTCAGCGTGACTCATTGCAATTACGTCGATTAGTTTGGTGGAGCAAAGGGTGGTATTACTTTGGATCCTAGTAAATTCACCGAAAATCAACTAGAGAGAGTCACGCGCCGTTACACCATGGAGTTGTGTCAGAGGGTAGGAACAATTGAATAATACGTTGCATTCTCGTTGTCCATTCCGCCCTAACATCATTTGACGCCAGGCGTTCATTGGTCCCGGAGTTGATGTACCCGCGCCTGATGTGGGGACAAGTGCTCGTGAGATGTCATGGATCATGGATACCTATAGGCAATTTCATTCTAACGAAGTGGATTCGATTGGATGTGTTACCGGAAAACCGATATATTTGGGTGGTGTCAGGGGTAGAAATGAGGCCACCGGGTTGGGTGTTTATTATGGCATCAGGGAGTTCCTCTCATATCCGGAAATTCAAAAATCTACTGGGCTAAGTGGCAATATCAAAGATACAAGCTTTGTCATACAAGGGTTTGGTAAGGTGGGCTACTGGGCCGCAAAATTTCTCGAGATCAATGGGTAAGTGATCGCCGACGGCGATGTAATAGTAATTTATGGCACGGGTCGGTATATTTAACTTTGTCGTTTTTAAATTTTTTCAAATGTGCTAGAGGAAGAGTGGTTGGTGTTGGTGAGAGAGATTGCGGCGTATATAATGCCGATGGAATAAAAGTAGATGAATTGTTTGAGTATCATAAAGCCAATCGTTCGTTCCGAGGTTTTCCAAACGTTGATATTTTAGAGGATCCTTTAAAGGTTACAGTGAAATTCCATTCTATTTCATTAAACAGCTTTTCGCTGGAAAATTTCGGAAAGCGTAATTCCGGTCCGATTTCCAGAGAATATTTCGAGTACCAATTTTTTCCTTATTTATTTGTTTCTCTTTCTTATTTATTTTACTTTAAAATTAGATTCTCGAAGTGGAGTGCGATGTTCTAATTCCGGCCGCACTTGAACGTCAGATCGGACTTAAAAATGCCGATTACATCAAGGCTAAAATTATCGGTGAAGCAGCCAATGGTCCCATAACTCCAGGGGCCAATGACATTATGTTGAATAAAGGAATTCGTATTATACCAGACTTGCTATTAAATGCCGGGGGTGTGACGGTAGGCAAAATTTTCAGAAACATTTTTCTTATGACTTCGATCAATACTCATGCCCGCAAAAAATAATAAAAATGCTTAGGTTTCATACTTTGAATGGTTAAAAAATTTGTCACACATGAGATTCGGAAGGATGACCAGAAAATGGGATGAGCTGGGTAAAACGAAATTGGTGGAATTAATAGAGACCATAATTGAACAAAAGGTTTCGGACCTGGAAAAAATGCATATCATACATGGGGCGGAAGAAGTTGACCTAGTCTATTCGGGATTGGAGGATACTATGATGGGTGCATGCAAGGAAACCAGGATTACCGCTCTAAAAAGGGTAAGATTCATTCATTCCATCGTTTCCTTTTGACCATATGCAATGTTTTTTTTAATTCTTCGTGTCCTTACTTTTCAAACAGAAAACGGATTATCGAACTGCTGCATTTATAAACGCCATAGAAAAAATTGCCACGGCCTATGAAGGATCAGGAATGATGCTGATGAATTAATTTATTTTTATCGTTAAATAATCTTCCCTCATTTCGAGGTCACATGCGTAGTTTATTCGCGGAAAGAATTAGAGATATTAGAAATTCCAAACTTAAGAATGATATATGTAAATAAACAACTTTCTGGTCACAATTCCGATAAACAAGCAAATCTCGGATGACGTGTGTCTGGGAAGAAAGGTTAACCATTTGCATTACGTGTGACCAAGTAGTCATATGACTCTTCTATGTAGCACAATGCTGAAATAAAATATGTAAGATATTGAGATGTAGATCCGGATCGACTTGATAATTCCTTCTTGATCTCGATGGCGAACCATTCAAAACCCGTAGGAATCGTAAATCCTTTGGCCATTGCCGGCAATTTCCAACCTCATCCGACCTTAAACCGACTTGTGAAATATCTGAATTCGGTACCGGGGACCGATAAAGTTTTAATGGTATGGTCTTCATTATGATTCGAGAAGAGATACGTGCACATAGCAGTAGCTTTCGTAATGTGTTACTAAAGCGATTTCCGTCCGAATAAGCCGGAGTGATAATTCTAATCATGTTCGTTCGTTTGCGCAAGTAGTTTGTTCAGTATTTTTCAAAAATTATTATTTGGTTTCTCTGCCGAGTTGGAAGGAGGTCCTTGGCCGAGCGTATCACCAATCTAAGTTCCCCCATCAGTGATTTCAGGATTCTCCTTCGGTGAGTAGATTTCTTTTTTCTTTTTAGGAGAATTTCATGAGCTCCCGAAAGGATGTGTCGAATGTCATTATCGCAGTAAAGGGATTAATATGACCTCCTTAACACAAGCTATTATGGACTGCTCCCTCTGGTCCAATGGATGATTCATATCGAACATCATCCACCAGAGACGCCTCTTCTTCTCAACATAGAACGTCTTCAGAATCTTACCATGATTCTTTACTATCCACTCGAGCACATTTATTGGCTTGCAGCTCACAAAGTTCTCAATATATCGGAGTCACGAATGAATAGAATGGGGATTTGGAGTTGTCGTTTTTGGGCAGCTTATGTGTTGCTTCAATTTTGGCACCTCTGGCTAGAATGGAAGTTGCTCAAGAAAAGACGACGAAATATGATAAAAAGAGTGGATAGAGATGAAGAGGAAGTCAAGAGGGAGAAGAGGGAGTTGAAAGCAGAAGGCGAGAGAATTTGGAGAGAATCAATTATTAATGTTGGATACTTGCCTTTAACGGTAAGCGATCGTCATTATTTTCTTTGCAAATGAGATTATCTCATGGGACATTGTTTCATCGGGGAACTAGGTACATTGGTCAATTGAAAACTCCATGTTTCCGGATGTCGGTGTGGGCGTGTTCGGTACTCTCGCCGCTTTTTATCAGTTACGTGGGGTGTGGAAGGCCACCGCGGAGTGAATATTGGAGGTACAAAACAAAAAGCGTTTCACAAACAAGTTATACCGTTGCAAAAAAGATTCGTCTGGTAGATAGGGTGAAACCTTCTTGTACCTTCCTTAAATGCACATCTGGTTGGTTTTTTATATGATCCAAGGAAGGGTGCACTTTAGGAAGGATTCCTGTATCAACAAAACATTATTATTATTCAAAATAAAATATCAGAAGGGTTCCAGTTTCGTCCATGTATCACACATCACACTTCTTGATAGTGAATACACCATTTCGTTTGAACTCGCAGACCAACCCATGCCTTTCACATTGTAACATTATATAAACCTTAACGTTTGGTTATCGCGACTTGTAGACAATCGTGTAATGTTCAAATTAAACAATATTTATTTCGATTGTCCGGATAAACCCGGAGAATAAAGTAATAAATGCGATTATATGTGATTCAGATGAAACTATTAAACATGAACCATCCTCATGATGTTTTTCTCTCTTTTTCTTTCTTTCTTTTTCTTTTTTGAATTGTCTTTGAAAGATCCATTAGAAAATATGCATAAACAACTACTCAACCGTCGTCACTGGCTACCCTTATATGCTCAAATTTTAATTCCATGTGACTGATTGCCTTCCCAGACTGTTCACGCGTTACATCGGCCATTCTCACTCCGGTCAACTTGAACTCCCCATTTCCGATAGGCCCGCACTTGATCACCTCTGCTTTTTCATGTCTCTTTCCCATTATGCCCGTGCTCGTTCCATGCGAAAAAAAGAATTCCACCCCGCACATAACCCGGGGGTAATAATATAAATCCACGGCTATGATGTGATTATACCCTTCGTTTAATCCTCGTATGGTGAACAACTCTCCTTCTCGTGGATTTCCCTTTTGCGTGCCAATGCGAACACTCCTACGATCCACCCGATAAATAACTCTCATCCGTGTATAACATCCCCAGCATTTATGTTTATGCCTATAATGACACCCGGTTCGTCGTCGCATAGCGTAGACCCACTCCCACAATCATCCAAACCATGCGATCCATTGGGAAAAGTATCTCTTCCATATGGTCCGTATGTGATGGTTGAGACCTTTGCGCTAGGAGCCATGGTAGGTGCACTCCAATTATCCGGGGCAAATTTATGCAAGGCGAAGGTGTACACATAAAGCTTCATGAATTCCGCGTTGACTTCATTGAACAGGCGGAGTTTGGAGTTGATGCATGCATTGGTGATAGAGGTTTTGTTGTCACTAACTGCTTCGAGCTGGGTGACATCTTCGGGTGAGAAATATCTTATAGATTCATAGTTCGTATTGGAATTGGCCATTAGTGTGTCGGAAACTTGTTGGATAAAAGTTTTGGGATCTTGTGGATCATCGAAGGTCGAGATCAGAATTTTGGATTTGCGCCAGTCCTTCCATCGGGGATAGATATCGGTGAAGTAGGTTTCATATTCCCTGACTTGCTTTGATAAATCTTGGGCGTAAGGAGATTTCCAACCTCCCCCCGTGCTGCCGAATATTTCCTAAGTTAAAGTTATGAAAAGTTATGAGACCCTCATCCTCACGAAGCACATCGTTACGAACATCTGGATCACGAGAATAATTAAATGCAAACCGTTTTACACGTACTCCTCTCCCGGAGCACGGCTAGATGTATGAATGCAAAGATAACCATCACTGGCATCAACTGCACCACGTCCTGCCTCGAAAAATCGATCATTAAATTAAAGAATTCGCCGCACAGCTCCACCAATGACTTCATGAACACCGACCGTGTGCTTCCTTTACAATATGCTTGTAGGTTTTGATGGATTTTATGAAGTTGACTAGCCATAAGAGCCTTACTGATCACCCCGTGTTCCGCCAAAGCTTTAACATCGCAAAGTGTGATTAATTGAGTGAAAATGTCGGACACATTGGAGTCCGAAGAGGGTGGATTGTGATAAGAGGTGATGCCATCGGGGAAGAAGGTGTCGAGAAGGGTGGTGAGAAGTTCACCGGCTTTTGTGGTTGGTCTTGATATGGCGTCGACGAATGTGGATATTCGTTCTTCCCATGATTTCTCGACGGGCTGTGACTTTTCATCAGGAAGTTCAATAGTATGGTTGTCGGTGGGATTTTCCATTGTGCAAATTTATGACCTTTGTGAATCAAAATATTCGTGAAAATATGTCGTCATCTTTTATAGTCGGACAGTTTGGTTCGAATTGCTAGGAGAGTGGCGTGAATTCTACTTTCTCGGCATCTTGGAAATAAAAAAGCATGCATATACGTACAATATTATGCATCATAAATGAACGCATCATTTAGATTTTCCTTATTAGGAAGAGAAAATATGAGGCAATCGTTTCTAGCCACGCAAGCCACCATTTGGTAGCTAACAAATTTGGAAACTTCATTGTAATTACCTAGAAAAGCAAACTTGACCTGTGACAGTTCTTGAAATATCCTTTTTATCTTCTTCATATAATAAGCAGTGAATTCTTCTCACGCCTCACGACTTTCAGGAGAAACATTAGTATTAAATTCCTTCGAAAATGTAACGGTCTAATTTTTAAGCTTGTCATCACACGTGCGTTTCAAAGGGGACAAGAGCTACGGGCATTGAGATACTGTACGTACGTAATTGGAGTAGCAAATTATCCTATCGGTACGGTACTATTCAGAACCGAAATAAACATTTTATGCTATATAAGGAGTGAATGACGAAAGAAGGAAAGATTGCAATAATGAGGTCATAAAGAAAATTCATTATAATTTTCCTTATAAATAAAGTTTTTTCACCGAAGAAAGGTGCAACTCGAGATTTAATAATTTGGGTAATGAAAATGACGCAATGTAACAACGGCGAGTCTGCATGCGTCTAGGAAATTCCGAGTTGGAATTTTTCATGCCAATCATTTCCACCGCCTCCACTCAAATTCTTTCGTGTACGTGTATTAACATTCAAGATATTGTTTATTTTATAGAGTCATAATCTTGGACTGCATAGAAGAAGCTAACAACATTTTAGAAATTTTCTTGATCCTGTGTATGCATGTCCCTGCAATTTTAAAATTCTAATGTTTTGAACATCATTTACGTATCGCGCTTTCCAAATTTAATTTAAATACAAATATTTGCGTACGCGGCATACATATGACTACTTCATGTGCATTTTTTAAAATAAAACGATCTTGATGAAAGGTCCTCGGATATTAGGTACCGTACTTTTAAAATAATAATGTGGTACAAGGTGGCGTAATGTTCGTAAGAATTTTTTTTAATTTTTACCTATCGCCATCGTGTGTATTCAGTATGATTAAATGCAATAGAAAATCATGCAGGATCCTATATTGTACCGTTCCGTTCTATCAAAAAAAAGTCGAGGCTTGTTTCATGAGGTGAACCACTTATAGTTGGTTGGAACGGCGAATCCTTTATAAAAAGTCGATTTTTCTTTTTATTTCTTTGATTCGTCCTTTATTGTCAATTTGTGGTTACAAAAAAAAACAAATTTATCTAATCAAACCTTGTGTGTCAATTTTGAGTTTCAATAGATATTTGGAAATTTTATAAATACTCTGATTTGCTCATCGGTGCCATTTTCCTTATCACTTTCAACCTCCAAGGCTCCTCCTTTTCAAACTCTGGGATAAACAAAGATGGACGAAAAAAGGATCTCTACATCGTGGGAAGACTGCATTCTCTCGCTTATTGAGACCATCTCCAGACCACCACAAAAACCCATCGATCTCCTTTCCACTCTGTACACCACCTACTTCCCTTCCGACGACAAAGACATTTTCACAAAGCTACACGAAGAATGCAAGGATTTCTTTAAACCCGGAATAATCGAAAAGGAACTTAAAAATAACAGTAACATCATAGGTAAAATTAAACAGAATTTAAAGAATTACTGTGAAGTCAAGAGAGAGAAACGTGGAGATTATATGAATATTTTGGTGGAGTCATGTGAAACCTTTTACAAAAGGATGACCACGAACAAAGAGGTGACGCAGTTCGTGGGCGTGATGATCACCTTCGCGTTCTTTCACCTTGCAATTCTGAGTGAGAGAAACACACATCAACTGGTATGCAATTATCTTTGTCCTCCCAAGGAAAAGGAATGGAACCTTTTTTATATACGATTGATCGACTCACATCTCACATCGTTTATTTAAGGAAATATACGAAGGATGGGGTAATAAATACAAAAAACAACTCCTCGAAAAAATCTCCGCATATAAAGCATACTTCATTGACATCTACCCAAAGTGGCAGGATTGGAGGAAAGATCAAATCACCGTGAAAATTGTACCGGATTCTAAGAAGAAAGAAAACATAATTGGCGAGGTTCTGGACACCCTTACCACAGCCTCATTTGTTAAATACTCCTCGTCCCGAGAAACACAAATTAAACTGAGGGGTGTTTGTGAAAAAGCGAAAATTAGATTTTATAATGATATAAACGCGAAATTCATGAATCTTTACGTGCACACATTTGCCCTAAATAAATTTTACCCGGATAAACATGAAGAACCTCCGAAAGCTCCAAATTCAAAAGTGGCTACCGTGTGGTATGGCACTTACGGGCGGGATACGTTTCCGGATGGCGAGCACGACATTAAAGATTACGAGGAATATGAACTTTCAAATGATTTGCCGGGAGTAATTACCGGAATAAACATCCAAGAGTACAACGTTCTTGATGCGCTCACATTCCTCTACAAAAATCGTCCTGGCGAGTTGGTGGGAAATCCTCAAGGCGGACACTTGACTACCATTCGAGGCTTGAATGAAGAGTATAATCATATAATTGCTGTGGATCTGTATTTTTGTCATCGTGTAATGTGTGCGATTCAATTCTTCTTCCCGGGTGGTGCGACAGAGGTCTTGGGTAACAGGTCCAACGCAGATGCCGTAAGGATTAGTTGCGGATCAATTGGAAAGAGAGGAGACTTTAAGCTGACTGGAGTGAAAATGGCAAGCTCTACTGCCGATCTACCGGGAAAAGAACTTTCGGTGGGGTATGTGGCATTGTGCTTTGAATATGTACGAATAGATAAGAAAGATAAAAAATAGTTTTGCATTCGAGAAAGACAAGTAACATTCTCATATTCATCTTTTACGTCACCGTATACTGTATATTTATTCATTAGCAATAAATTAAATCTATTGTATCTATATTTTTAAAACGCGAGTACACATACAATGTAGCATTGATGATTGGTTCGGTATCTATTTTTTAATCGCAAAAAAAAAAAAAGAAGAAAAACCAAGCTAGCAAACCAATCATTTTTTATTTTCTTTTTTACATGGGATATTGGAGTGCGTCATTGTTATTGTAAATAAATGTTCGTTATAATAAATTCGGTGGGCGAATTATCATGTACAGATTGAGACGCTGTACAATGTTTGTTTTCAATAAAGAATTTGTAATAGTGTTTGTTATTCCGAGCATAATTCCAAAATTAGAATCTTACTGCTTTAATTTTTTGATCATTATTAAATCTATTTTTATTAAAAATGAATCAATCATTCCCGAGATATCATATTATAAAAATTTGTCACCTACTGTATATATATACTCACTTTATATTATTAACTTTGATTTATTCTTTATTTCAAGGTCTTAAAATCAAGCATAAAACATTGAAATCTGCATGCTATATATAATTTTAAAATTATAAAATATAGATTTTTTTTAACAAGCACAAATAAAATCGCCAATTTTTTAAAGAATTAAAGTTAAAAAAACATTTCTTTAATCGGATAATAAAAATATTTAAGGCTTATGTTGATAATTTAAAACTATTTGTTATATTCCTTAAAGTTAAAAGTCGTATCTACAATTAAAAAAAAAAATTTTTTTTTATAATTTCAAATTTATTTAGTAGTGAAAAAAAAATTTTTTTTCCACTTTTATCGAATAATTGAAAAATAAAAACAAACATTAAATATCAAAATTTTTTTGAATATTTAATTGTCAATTTCAAAATAATTTGTAAGAATTTTTTTTTTTACAAATAACTTGAAACTCTTAATATATATTATAATAGATAAATATAACTTTTTCCATTGATTCTTTGACTATATACAAAAAAAATGTTCATAAGAAGTTTTTTTATTTCTTTGTTAATAAAGTCTTAATATTTTCATTAAAACAACTTGAAGTATGACTTCAAGAGTTATTTCTACACTTTTCTTCTTGTTTATAAACCCCTTTACCAAAAACTTGACTTTTTATAATCAAAAAATATCAAATAACATATTTGATACCAATAGCAAGAAAGTTTTCAAAAGAAGGAAAAATAACTGTGAAGTACTTGAAGGTCTTTTCAACCTTTTAAATAAAAGGTTATAAAGATTTTGTTGTAGTAGAAAAGCTTGTTTTCTTTCTTTCTAACCGTCTAAGTCCTTTTAGAGTTTTTATTTTCATGATTTTATAAGAAATTTTGTCTATCTTCATTTAATCCTGAATTTTAAGTAGCATAAATTCTTATTAAAAAAGTTTAATTGATATAAAATATATTAGTTTTTTAAATGTAAACAAGTTTCTATTAATCATACTCATATGTTTCAATAATATCATTGGTAATTAAAAAGAATGTTTCAGAAATATTCACTCTTCAAAAACTCAAGTCCCTTAAAAAAAATATCAATAATATCAAAAAATCAAGAAATGGATAATATATATTTAAAATATTTGTCTCTTTTTTAAGTTTCTCAGATAATAACAAAGCTTTAATAAACAAAAATTGATATCTAAATACTTTTTTTAAGATATTTTAATTTGATAACTTATTTAAATGAAGGACTAGTTGAATTGACTTGTTTGATATTGTAATCAAATTTATTTTTGACTGGTGTGTCCAAATGGAATTGCTTTTAAAAGGACAATTCCCAAAGAAAGAATTAAAGAAATGGTTTATAATAAAGAAATATTTAAGAAGA